GACAGCTGGGGCTACAGGAAGACCCTGTCTCAAAAAGACCGAAAAAAAAAAAAAATAGTTTGAATAACCCCACTCCACTCTATCTTATACTAACCCTCTTATGCAACTGGTTCATTTTTCAAAGGTATTTAAGTTTTCCCTTAAGCCCACTGTAGATATTCTTCAGGAACTGGAACCAAGCTTCCCACTAGGCTTGGTGAGTGGCTACCTCACTGAGGGGAAGTAGGCCAAGTAACATCTGCATTAAGCATGTCAGCTAACATGTGGGTTACAGTCCCAGAAAGGTGGATCCAATGTATAAGCAACTCAGTCACAGCTCTGGGGCTGAATTACACAATATAAGTGTGTGGCCCAACTGTCACAAACTTAGTACAGACCCTCAAGGCTTCTTTCAATCTTAAGAGTCACTGATTCTAAACCTCATAAGTTTAAGAGTCTGAGAGTGACCCATTTCTTTACTCCACTCAAGCGACAGATACAAACTCTGCTTTCAGCTTGCCCCAGATGGTTCCTTTTTCTTCTAGATCCACTTCCACTGAGGAGCTAGACTAACATATATAAACAGATAAGAAAGGCAGCTAAATTGGTGAACACAGATGGGTACAGATGGAAAAATGTGACACAGGTAGACACGATATCTTTGTGAAGGTGGGAGATTAAAAAAAAAAAGAATGAGCTGAATGAACAAGGTGAATCATAACATGTCTGAAGTCCTGCTCTCCAGGACTAGGTAAAATCAGTGACTCATAACAACATGTCTACAGCCTTGCTCTCCAGGACTGGGTAAAATTACTTGTGACTTTGTCACACTAATTCTGAGTAAATTTCCAGGGAAGTCAGGCCACTAAGTACAAGAAAATAATGGTATGTCTATATATTTAAGGTTCCCTTGGTTCCTTATAAAATTTTTATTTATTTTTAAAAATTTTTTGTGTATGAGTGTACTGCCTACATGTGCGTAAGTGCACCTGTGTCATGCAGTGCCCTCAGAGGACAGAAGAGAGCATCGGATCTCCTGGAACTGGAGTTACGGATGGTTGTTAGCCGCCTTGTGGGTGCTGGGATCTGAACCCAGGTCTTCTTCAAGAACAGTGTTCTTAACTGCTGAGCCATCTCTCCAGTCCCTCCCTTGTTCTTTAAACTGTAATGATAAGTCTACTAAGACCATCCTCTAGGAAATGAGCCATTGTTCTTGAAATATTCACCACTGAGGAGCTGCTCTCTGGGCCAGAAAGGTCTTGCATAGGCACCTGTTCTAAAGGTGGAAGGAAACACCTCCACCTACACAGCCATGCCATTGTTCATAAACCCTTTGGCCATGGCTTTGTCTACCCAGTGTTTCTAAGCTTACTGGCCAACTATGGCTAAAATACCTCTAGTTTCACCATTCACCCAGAACTTGCAGTTATCTGGGAGAGGAAAGAAACAGTTTATGAGGTACTTGGAGTCTGGTAGGTCCTTACCCTCCAATGCATATTTCATGTCTTGAGCAAATAGATGCCACATCACTTCTGCACTGACTTTCCCCACACTTAACTCCTGAGGAAACCTGGATAACAGAAAACAAAAAACAAAAAGCGCAGTGAGCAAGCAAGGCAAGAGCTATTTGATAATATTTATTCTAAGGTACCTAGATCTTAGAAGTCATATTAAAAAAAAGAAAGGCCTAGAAACAGGGCTAGGCTGAATCTGAAGAAATGGGGCCCAAGAACCAACAGTATGATAAATGAAGGCAAAGGGGACCCCATTAGGTAAGATGGGCCCAGAGGACAGAATGCCCAGAAGGTAAGACAAGGCAAGGCACTGGGCTCCTAGGGAGGGTGGAGGCTGGAGGGCAGACCCAGGATAGAGAAGCTGGAGGAGAAAGGGCAGAAAGGTGGGCTCTAAGAAGGCCTGTTTTATTCATTGTGGACAGACACATACACACATAGTCTCTGGATCCCCTGGGGCTCCCATAGCAGCCACAGCCCCGGAAGCCTCTCTCTCCAGAAAGGCTGTCCCAATCTAGACAGGGCCCTCCATTATATTTCCACACCTGTCTCCAGAAACAGTTACCCAGACAGATACAAGGGACAGAGGGACAGATGGACGGACAGTTGGAAGGAGTTGCACTGCAAACATACAGAGATAGGAAAGAAAGAGGCTGTTAGATAGATGGACAGATCAATCACAAAGCAGACAGAGCCAACTAGGGGGATACTCACTGGTTCAGAACAGGTGTGTAGGAATTCTTATCTTCCTCTATGATAGACACAATAAGTGTGATAAGTTTGGGCCAGAAGTCCAAGTTCCGAATGCTGGGCCCTGGCTCCTCCAGCGGTAGTTCCTGCTTCTCGTTCTGAGGGAGGAGAAGAGGGAGCGAGGGAGAAGACAATTACAGTAGAATTGGAAAACCTCTCCCTTTTTCTCTTACCCTGCTAATGCCTGTTACTTTAGAATTCCTCTTGTGGTACCTGTCTTCCAAAAGACTACCTCTGTTCCACAAGAGGGATGATTACTGGGAAGTCTTTCAGTCCTTGAGACTTTATATAGCCCTGGGGCACTGCTCCTGGAGTAGGAGACAGAGACATGCCTGTCTTCCTTCTCTCAGTTACTATGGATAGTTGACTCTTGGGTTGAAATGAGCATCCTCCAGCCTCCTAAATAGGTCTAGTTCTACACTCCCTACCCACATCCACAGGCAACCATTCTCTTCCAGATGTCCCTCTTCAGATCCACGTCTCACACAGCACACATAGACACCTCCACTCTGAAAAGCTCCTTGAAGTTGTGCAGGAGCTACTGAACAGACCCTGCTGCCGTCTGGTATAACTTTCAGTGTAGTAGGACTCTTTCTGATACCTTGAAAGTTATTAGCTGGAAGACATGCTCCTGGAAAGCTACTGGCCTAGCTGGAAAAGAGAAGGCTTTTCTTGGAAAGAGACAAAGAAATATAAGGGTGGATCTCAGGAAAAGAAGAGTCACTTCACATTCAGAATCCAGAAAGGACAAGTTGTAATCCACAGAGACCGGAATCGACATTATTTCTCATAGGAACAAAGGCAAAGGTGGAGCTGCACCCGACAGGGATGGACCTTTTATGTGGATGTTACGTGTCCTTGCAGTTTCTAGTAGCCCTAATAAGCCTATATCAACAAGAAGCTAGTAGAAACCAGGACAGACTCCACATGCTGTTAATTCTATCTCAGTACCACTTAAACTCATCTTTTTCTTTTTCTGCCACTCTCTCAGCAGAGGTTCATTTAAGGATATCTTGGTCTTTCAACTTCAGTCTAGCATCTTATCCAGGGAGCTGTCAGTGATTTCTCTATAAGGAAAATCTTTGAGTATTGCTCTTCTGTTTAAAGTTTTTCCATGGCCTTCAATTAAGCTCAAACTCCTTAGCTTGACACAAAAGTCCTTCAGAATGTGACCTTGCTCTCAATCTCATGCCTCAGCAATTCTCTTGTGCCCTGCATCGTGATCACCATTTACTGTGGTGCCAGGCACACTGCTAAAAACCTTATACATGGTCTCATTTGATCTTCTCAATGACTCTACTGAGGAGTTAGTTATCACCTCATTTTTGGATGAGGACACAGAAGGACAAGATTGTATGACTTGCCCACAGTTACATAGGTGGAAAATGGCAGAACTAAAATCTGATCCCATAGCAGCTGAATTCTAAGGTTTGATGCCATAAATAGCTGAATAATTGCACAGTGAACACACAAGTGTGCTTTATAGTTCTCTTGGCCTTGACTCTGTGCTAGAGTCTGTTCTTTTCCTCTGCATTGAAAGGAGTATTGTCCTTTTAAATGTATTCAGAAAATCAGTGCATCATGTTACCTTGATTTTGTAAATGAATATGAATAATCCAGACTATCCCCTCAAGTTATGTTGGTGAATTATAATTGCATCTAATTGAAGGTGCAAGAGTTGGAACTGGTTTTGTAATTGTACTTAAAAGAAAAAAAAGAGAGAAAAATAGCTGAATAAAATTGCTTTATGTTTCCTTAAATTAACATACTCACATACAATTCTGTGCTTCTAAACACTTTATCTTATCCTTTCTTCCTTTCAGCTCCTTTCTTGAACAGATTTCTACTCCTTCCTCAAAATCTACGTTGGATTTTACTTCTAAGAACTTGTCTCTGGCTTGGTTAGATACCCAGAGCACAGTTTATGAATTTCTGATATATATGTATATGTATGTTTATCAGATATCTACAATTATAATCAAATGTGATAAAAGAAAGAACAATACATGTAGTAATTTTTCCCGATTTCTACCAAATAATGAATGCCCCCCAAAACAGAAATGTGTCTTATTTGACTTTACATATCTAATGCTCCATTTGATAAGTGAATGGATGGATGAATAAACTATGACTGAAGTCCAGTAGATGGCTATGTTAAAACAAAACAAACCAAATCTAAGGGTTTCCTTGAGTACATGTATTTCCTCTTTGAAAATAAGGTTGAAAGAAAGTAAAAAGTTGATTACAATATAAAAAGGCTAAAGCAAGTCCTGGACGGCTTGTAGGCCTTCTTCAGTCTAGCTCATTATTATGCCAGGGCAAAGGGACCAACATTAAAACAGACATCTGCATAGTTGAAAGATCAAAGCTGAGAACAATATCTTCCCCTAAGTAGAGGGACTCTATAGATAGATGACAGAAGAGCCCAGAAGGTACCAAGCCAAACAAAGGCCCCAGGAAAACCTCCCGTGAACACAGAACCAGTTGAAGGTTTTACAAAACCTCTAAAGGAGGAAGCATTAAATATATGGCCAGCACAAAAAGAACATTTGGAATGCAAGAAGGCAGCACAAAAAAGATCTTAGATCTCTGCTAAGGGGCCCCAGGAAGCATTATAAATTGGATGTATTAACTAAAAGACAGGTGTTCAACAGATTACCATCATTTGGTCCTACTATCTTTTGAGGTCCATCTCCAATGTTCCTTGTTTTATGTAGCTTTTTCCATTGTCTGATCAAGACTGAATTCTTCCTCCTTGGAACCTTTCACTCTTATCCCTGTCTCAAAGCCCTTCTAATAGACTACACTAATTGAAATATATACGTACACTCAGGAGACTGTGGATTGACTGAAGGAGCACTGGACTTTTCTCAGACCTGGCCCAGAACATTACGTACTCACTCACTCACTCACTCACTCACTCACTCACTCACTCACTCACACAATCAATGCAGTAAAATTTTTAAAAAGAAAAATGAACTAAGTTTCCAGGCACTGAGTTAAGATGCCAGCCTAAAATAGGTGAAGTGCCTCAACCTCACAAAAGGTTAGGACAAGCCTTAAGAGTTGGTAGGTAGGTGAGGAAGGCAGCACAGAACTTACAAGGACTAACACATCAGACCAAAATTTAACCCTGAGAGAAAGTAAGGGTCAGAGAAAAGACTCTGGGATGGTCTCAGAATTCCATCTACAGCCATCAAATCGCTCAAATTACGGTGCACTTCCTTCAGTACCAAAGGAAAACTTACTGCGGCCATTTCTGCTCAACTCAGGTATGTCACATTTTGTTCAAGCGTCCTTTGTCAATGTATAAATGTCTATACTATGAAACAAATGGTCCACAATCCATAACTCACTCATTCATGAACATATCAAGGCCTTTGTTTTGAGCTCCTTTCTACCATGACTCTAGTGAAGAAAAGCTGAGGCTCCACAGAGCTGCTGTCAACTGACCTCATCTGACCCCAAACCTCTTACCAGCTGGTACTGGCAACTGTAGAGATCATGGCAGTTGTTGAATATGTATTCATATGTGGAATTCAAACAGGCTTTCACACAATCCTTTACTACTTGGCTGGCTCTTGGAGGGCTCTGCAGTTCTTGCACCTGCCAATTAACAGAACAAATGCAGGCTTAAGGTCCTGCTCGCCTATGTGGGATCTCCTCTAGCCTCCCCCTAAATCTACTCCAGATTCATTTGACCCTTTCTGAGTCCCCAAACCTTGCCCAGTATTATGGTTTGAATGTAAAATGTCCTCCATAGGCTCAGGTTTTAAGTACTTGGCCTCCAACTGGTCATACTGTTTTGGGGGTTGTATAATCTTTGGGACACTGGCATCTAGTTATCAGACACAGAAGCAGACCTTAGAAGGCCATTTCCAGTTCTGCTCTCTGCTTCCTGATCCACCAAGATGTGAGAAGCAGAAGCAGCAAGCTCCTGCTGTCCTGAACTAAGCATCTCCATCATGCCTTCCCCACCATGGTGGACTGTTGTCCCTAAAGGTGAGATTTAAAGAAATTTCTCCTCCTTTAAGTTGGTGACAGGTATCTTGTGACAGTGATGAGGAAAGTAATGAGCACACCTTGTGGTGAAACTGTAGGACAGCTGATGGGAAGAACCTCCAACCCTCTTCACTGCTCTGTGTTAGAAGTAACCCAGGAAACAGGTATACTTTGGAAGTGGGAGCTTAGAGGTGCTGAATCTTGTAGCCCAATGACTTTTACTCTCCATGTTTCCATGGCCAAGTCCTAAGTCCACCGACTGGTTCAGCCCATTCTTACCTTCATTCTGAAGAAAGTAATGCTGGTAAGCAAATCCACTGTGGATTTTAAATCTTGAAGTCTCTCAGGGCTTCCAGCAGGAAAATTATTCTGTTGTAAATCAAGCAAATATAAGAAAGGAATGAAGGAATATGAAAACCTTCACTGCCAAAGAAATGGCAATCAAAAGCAATGAAATCAAAGTTTCCCTAACTGCTGTCCATTGGGATTTTCTGTAGTTGGCCTGGGAAAACTAGGTGTGACATTACAGGTCTCCCTTTTTTATTTTCTAGTGATGCCGACAGGGCCCTGACCAGCATCAAGATGAATACTTCACAGCTCAGAAAGCCACACTTCTTCCCTAACTCTGCTTCCCATGCAATATGTAAGCATTTGTCCAGATGAACGATCTCGATCCCCCCGCCCCCCGCCTTGGATGAAGATTCTTATACCCAGTGAGTTCTTCAAAAGCTGCACTCTAACTGTGTATCATGGAATATAATGAAGTCACATTACAGAGCAAGCAGATCCAGAACCTAGACTTTCAGTACACCCTGTGCTTCTACTGTCCTGGAGCCAGCAGATGGCAGAGTCCTGAGCAGACCTTTGAAGTTCCTTAGGACTTTCCTGTATGCCACACTTTATTCTCTTTGACATGAGTTTTAGCTGGAAGCTGCCATAGAGAGCTGCAGGAGCAGAATAAGCCACTCTCCGCTTTGTCCATTTTAAGATGGCTACTTATATGCCAAAGATAGTCATCTCTCCATTATTTATACAAATGGAGAATAAGAAAAGTACAGATAATCAACACTTCACTTTTTAAAAGTTGGAGGTTGCTTTTATACTTACTTTTTAATGTGTATATATTGCCTGTTCTGGAAATTCATAGTATTTTAAGCAAATGATGAAGCTATTGTAAGAAGATCTATCTTAGGAGGAGCTGAGAAACTGCCCATTTCTTTGCCCTGTCCCATCCCAGGTATCTACTCCATCTATTTCCTCCCAGACTAGAAAGAGACATCACATCTAATACAGTTTACTTGCCCAAGACAAGCTAGTCTTTCTTCCCCTAGTCAGAGACTCATATCTTTCTTGGGAATTGAGAAGAATATAAAAAATGGAAATATGATTAAGTATAAAAATTCTATAATGGGGCTGGAGAGATGGCTCAGTGGATAAGAGCACTGACTGCTCTTGCAGAGGACCCGGGTTCAATTCCTAGCAATCACATGGTGGCTACAAACTGTCCTTAACGCCAGTTCCAGGGGAATCTGAAGCCCTCTTCTGGCCTCCGCAGCATTGCATGACATGGGTCTACTCACATACATGTAGGCAATATACTCATACACATAAAATAAAAAAAAAATAATAATGATAAAAATTCTATAAAAGGGCAACTCTGGGAGAGATTATGTCACCTGAGAGTAGGGTAGGGTGATCATGGAATTGGAAAGCCCCCTATCAATTAAAAGCAGTCATACCTGCTATTTATACTGCATGGTCCTTAGTGTTAAAAGGGCTACAAGTGTCAATGACATCAGCCATTGAGATGCATGTGATGTCATAGACCATTTTCCCTATTGTGGATCTTTATAGTAAGACTTACCCATCTCTTCCCAGATTGAGCTTGATATTACTTATTACCCCACATGTAGCTATGTCCTCACTTACCCTATACATAGAGAGGTCGATCCTCAGGGAGTTGTGTAGCTGGTCCAGCAGTTTCACAAATCTTTCTTTCTGGGGGTGAGGAAAAAAAGTAATAGAAAAGGGAGAGAGGATTTGCTTCTGAGTCCCCAGACTACAGTAGAAACAGAACTACCTATGAGCAAGGAGAAAAAGTGGGGGCAGCTGGTTGGCAACACATCCTTTCCAAACCCATCAGAAGAACAAACAGTGTAAATGAAAATGATCCCTGTTCCATTTCTCAGCAGCACTGTCTTTGTTTTGTTTTGTTTTCTGTCTTTTTGAGACAGAATCTTCCTGTAGCCCCAGCTGTCCTAGAACTCACTATGTAGACCAGGCTGGCCTTGAACTCATAGAGATCTGCCTGCCTCTGCCTCCCAAGTGCTAGGACTAAAGATGTACACCACCATACCTGGTAGCAGCACTGTCTTAAACTAAGAAATCTTTTCACATTGACAAGGGGAAAGCCAAGTTGCTGGGAGGGGAAATAGTTCTTTCTATATACAAATCATAGGACACGACCAGTACATCTCCATCCCTCTGAGAGTGTAACTTATCAATTCATCTTACTCAGACAAAAGAGAATCCAAACACATTCTCCAACATGCTCCTGAGTCTGAGGTCTCTAGGTTATCTTTGTATATTTAGTTTTATAGATACAACCTAGTAGTAGTAATGGTGGGAAAGGAAAACAGTGATGCATTTAAAAGGTCATCAGACAGACATGAGAAATTGCTTTTTAAACCAAGGTACATGTATTTCCCTTGTGTATATTCTTAAATATTAAAATGCACATAGAAAAAAAAGTATTAAATATAGAATCATGTGCCTGTAGGCTGCTGGCACAGTACTTCCAGAACTGCTTATGTCAACTACATCAGTAGATACTGATTAAGGCACTACATAGTGGAATAAGACAAAATGGAACAGATAGTTGACTGGCTTAATCAATTACATTAACTCATCTACAGAAAGGCTATTAACAACAACAATGAAATGAGTACCAAAAATTGGGGCTCATATATGCAGCAGACTGCGGGGATATCAGTAGTTTTATCCCTACAGAGGTGACTTCTGTGATAGGTCATTTCATCCCATTTATTGAATATAAGTCAGGTGGTAGTCTCAGTAATGCCTCAATTTTTCTAGTACCCTCATTCCAGGAAATGGGAAAACAGTCCAGATACCAGAAAAAGTCCAGGAACACATTGCTACCCTTACTTAGACATCAGTCCCATGTAAACTTTAGTGGCATGAATCTGTCACAGAGAGACTGAATAATATTGAGAAAAGTCCATTTGGGACCTTTAAGACTAAACAACATTGTGACTGAATCAAAGTTTTGCCTAGAGAGGAGGTTCTGTCTGGGTCCAGGTAACAATGTCCTTTAAACCATGGTGGTTTAGACTGCCACGGGGCAGTCTATTAATAGTTCACATATCTATAAGGAAAGAAACTTTGACTATCAAATGGCAACTATTTGAATTTTAGGCACATCAATCAACTCTATAGACCTAGCCAGGAAATAGCAACCCATCAATTGATTAATATTTGGGGACCTGTGTTTCATCATACTCACACCAAAGTTGGAGGCTGAGAAGCGATCAGATGCAGAGACGTTAGTGGACACAGTTGTGTGGGCATAGTAGGCATTGATATTGGCCAGTAAGGTGCTCATCACTGCTGGCACACCGGGACACATGTACTTGGATGACAAACATGCAAAGTGCCTAAAAAACAGCATCTTCATTCTCAAAGACTCTTCAGAGTTTGCAGGAGAAGCTAAGTAGGAACTCAATAAAAGCTTGTGGAAGAATACAGTACAAGTAGGGCAATCAGCTCCCTCTGCTCATACAGTGTGGATCCCTGTGTGCATCTTTATGGCAGCATCGCTAATAGCCATGTCTGCAGACTGGAATTCCTATCATGGGAGTCTTGGGAGATTCTACAGAGAGATGCTTTCCTTACAGCTTACTGCCTTCTTTGTTGACTCCCAAGGCACTCTAGGTCAGTTCATGAGCTACATATACATGTACATGCATGCACACAGGTGAGCAAAAACATGCCGTATCTTCTCATGTGTCTTTGTATACCCACTCATGCCCTTTTCCTTTTCTACCCCCGACCTTGGGGAGGTAAAAAGGTAAATCCCTGAGTTACTGACATACATACCCTTTCTAAGCATGCCTTCTTTGCCTTGGGGCATAGATGCACTCCACCCATACTTTCTTCAGAGAAGAAAGTATGTAATACTGCATATTACCCAACTAAGCACATGTCCACCATGTCATGTGCCTTCATGAGCTACTCTAAGGATTAGTAGCTACTTCCCAGAACCCTGGGGAGCCTCACGTCATTGCTTGATATATGGACTCGATGCCGTAGCGCATGGCAAATTCATCCACAATTTCTTGGGCTGTCTCATCAAAATACACCTTCCATGCATCATCTCCCCGAGCCTCTGGGATCCGGATTCCTCCACTGCCCTGAATGTCTGTGAGGTAATGGAAAAGGTTCTGCAGGACACAGAGCAGAGAAAAGGGAAGGGTTAAAAATACATGGTTCTGCTGGGTGGAGTGGTGTAAGCCTTTAATCCCAGCACTTGAGAGGGAGAGGCAGGCAGATCTTTGAGAGATGGAGGCCAGCCTGGTCTCCATAGTAAGTTCCGGGCCAGCTGGGGCTATGGGGAAATCTTGTCTTGAAAACAACAAACAACAACAACAGCAACAAAACAAAACAAAAATATGATTCTAATGAAAAATAAAACCTGGTGATAAAGTCCAGGAGAATGTGAAAAAATTTGATAGAAATTCTGTCCTTCATGCCACTGCTCAGCTCTTCTATGGCCACAGCGGGTTGTCAATTAGTGAAAGAAGAGTCACAGCTCAGTGCCTCAGGCTGTCCAGAACAGCATAGTGAACCCAGTTCTCCAACCACCTACTGACCTGCTTATGGTCAAGAGCCCACCCTTGCTTTGCAGCCCCAACCTACAAATTTCTGCTCACCTCATGGAGACATGTATATTGTACATGGTATGGGGCCACCTTCTCCTCCCCCTTGATCTCCACATTGATTTGTAGCCGGATAGCCCCAGAAACAGCAGATTTGTCTGTCCTCTTCTCTGCAAAAGGAAGGAGACTTGAGATTCACATCAATGACTACAGATGGTGCAGTGAGCCCCATCCTGTTTTAATCCAAAGAAAGAATGGCATCATTAACCAAGTGGCCACATACTCCATAAATAACACTAGTGGCTGGGTGGCAGAACAGAAGTGAATGGTCAGAGAGCTAAAGTACTAGGGATGAAGTTAGGGATGAAGACTAAAGGACCTTCTGAAACCTGGGGAATATTCAAGCCAGAATGAGTTCCAGCCATTGCCATGCCCTGTCCTCACTCCTACCTATGCTCAGCTCTCTGAAGCTAAGATAGGCTCTGGTCCAGTTTCCTCACCTAGATTGTACCAGACATCCATCTCTCCACTCAGTGTCCGAACCTCAATGATGGTTTGGCCAAGGAAATCATCAGACTCTCGCTTTAGCCGCTGCTTTACTCTGGATTTGATGTCGTCATCCTCATCCCACACTCGTACCTTAATGCGGTCAGAGGAGTTGTGGCACTCACTGTGAGAGAATTAGGTAGAGAACTAGGTAGGACAGACCCTGCACTATGATTACCAATTTTCCCCCAAAAGCTTCATCAACTACACTTGAAAGAGAGAGTCGGCAGACATTCAAGTTCCAAGTGAATCAGGTTAACCCAGCAACAGGCTTTCGATTCTTCAGAGATGGAGAAGGGAGGAATGATTATGGTCAACTTTGGCTTCTTTTTAAGACATTTTTTAAATTTATTCATTTTTATTTTATGTGTATGAGTCCTTTCTTTTGCCTGTATAGATTTAAGAGTACCACCTATGTGCAATGCCTGCATAAGTCAGAAGACAGCATCAGATTCCCTGGAACTAGCATTTTGGACAGTTACTAGCCGCCATGTGGGTACTGAGAATTGAAACTGAGTCCTCTGCATGAGCCTTCTAACCACTGAGTTATCTCTCCAGCCCTCCCATTATGGCTTCTTACACAGCTAATAGTATCAATAATTCCCAAAGTACAATGTCAGAGAGCTAGGAAGCAATTGCTAGCTTCCTCCTCAGAGTTCAAGACTCTGGATGGCCATCTTGTATGTGGTGTTTGCTTTGGAGAATGGAGCTGCTCACATCTCCCTCTTGCTCTCCTCCCCAGAAGTTGTTTTCTGGACCTTGGTCCCTTACCCAAAAGTGGTACTAAGCAAAAATTGTTACTCCTTTCCATATGGTCTTATCTTTCCATATTCCATTAAAATATTATACTGTAACTACTCCTCTACTGAAAAATAATGATCATCAGCTAGCCTGAAGAGAGAGACTGAGATATAGTGTCATGTATAGTATCTTGCACAGAATAGGAACTGAATAAATTGCTCATTAAAAATGGGTAAAAATGGCCACAAGCCAGTTCAATTTAAAATTAGTTATAAGAAGGAGTCAAGCAGGAGCTATTCTGATTCTCAAAGAAATAGGTACACATCTCTTTTACTGAATCCTAGTTCTTTTCCACATGAGTTCTCTGGGAGTCAACAGAAGACAGTCTCCATACTGTCAGTCCAGCCTGCTCAGCAACTTCAGAACCCAAATCTTCATCCTACACCTTGGAGGAAGGGATGTAAAACAATACCATCTGACTTCTCCAAATTTTCATCCAAGTTCTAGGTTAGAGCGAAATGGTCTGTAAGAAGTCAGGTAATAGAAAAAGGAATGGAGTAAGCCAAGGCAGGAAGAAAAGCTTTCCTTAAGAGAAATAGAAACATCTAAGTCCCCAGACTGCCATTTGCAAGCCAGAACTATTCAGTTATAGGTCAGATATCCTTTCCTCACTCCTGAGAAAAACCTAAAACCTCCTAGCAGGGTGGCTGAGCTAGGAGATATAACAGGGTGGCCAATTCTGAGTTCTGTCCAGGGTAACAGTAAACTCTTTAGGGCTAGACAAAGCACTGTAGTTAAACGGACCTAGTTAACACAGGGCTCATATAAACTACCAAAGTCCATGAAAGGAAACCCAGAAAAAGTATGACGGTTGCCCAGTGAAACATGGGAAATTGGATTTTTCTATAGCCTCTGCCCAGTTTTAGAGCTCAAACCAGAAAAGCAGGTTGCAATATTGCTTCTAAAATGTACATAATTCCAGCTAAGACAAAGCTCGCCCCCACCCCCACCCATACCCCATGACTTACAAATGGAACTTCTCCTCCCAAACAGGATTCAAATTTCCAAAAATGGTCTTGGTACGTTTTTTGGTTTTCCCAACTTGCACAGTCACATAAGGGTCACTGGATCCTGTCTTATCTTTGGCTTGTAGGCCCTGGGCACACACCACTGCAAACCAAGCACAAATTGGAGCTTCAGAGGTGAGTCAGAAGCTTTCCTCAGCACTAATCCTAGGCCTAGGGAAGACAACCTGTGCTCCCTGCCTAATCTCACTTCTCTGTATCTCTCCTTAGTCCTGGCCATTGCCTTTCCCTCAAAGTTTAGCCCCAAAATTCCACCTCTCCACCTGGGCCCTCCCTGATCCCTGACTGCCTCACTGGTCCTTCATTCTCTGATATACACATGCTTAAGCCCTACCCACATGGCTAGTAAACCACCGGTGAACTAGCACCTGCCTACCCTCTCCTTGCCATCCCCAATTTTTTTAAGCTCAAACTGCTAATAAGTGCATGGTTTCAGATTATTACCACATCCTTACATGATGGTTCATATTGTTTGTAAGTACTAGTCTTGTCTCTCCTGGCATCAGGACGAAACAAGGAGTGGTGAATAATGAGACTCACTTTTCCTCTCAGTGCTGTCTTCTCCTCAATCTCTCACTCCCTCAGACTTGGGATGCTTCTTTCTCAGCCTTTCCCCCATAGGCCAGGTCTCCCTGTTCCCTCAAATGTTTGCCCTCACCAGTGATGGTAATTTTGGCTGACCATTTGGAGGTGCCATCCAGAACACTCTGCTTCACTGTTTTCATCTGCTGCACATGGGCAACTTTGCTCACTGTGAAGACATCACGGATAACCTCAAAGATCTCTGGTTTATTCCGCTCTCGGATCTTCATCCGGTCTTTCATGGCCATGATAATGTTCTGGGTCCGGTCCTCGGCTCCATGTTTGGAGCTCTTTTCTGCAGCCCCTGAAGGATAGTTCAAAAAGTAGAACTAGGCAACAGGCCGCCTCCCAGGCCAAGGTCAATGTAAGGAAAAGGCTCTGGGAGAGGCGTCTAATAGAGGGAGATACTTAAGAATATTGCGAGTTCTCTGGAAAAAGCAATCACTGTAGGGCCTGCTATCTGGCCAGAGGAGTTTAAAATTCAACTCAAAGGGTAGCAGAATCTTGATAATTATGATAGGAATTCACTATATTACTCACTCTGTTCAGATAAATGTTAGAATTTTTCATCTATTCTCTAACTTTAGGGTCAAACTCTCACCAAAGAGTATCTCAGATGTCATGGAGGGACGCTAATTTTATCTAATCTCATCTAACTGCCAAGTATGACACAAATCCCAGAATTTACCACAGACACAACTGGGTTATATCCTATGGTTCTACTGCTTTGGATGTCAACAAATAGTGTAGTATAATTTTATTTTTAAAAAGTATGGTCTCAAGCCGGGTGGCACATGGCTTTAATCCCAACAATTGGGAGGCAGAGGCAGGTAGATCTCGGCAAGTTCGAGGCCAGTATGGTCTTTGGTTTCAGGCAGACCTGGGTTCAGATCTTGATTCTCCCATTCCCATCTTAGTGATTATAATACACCGTCTTTCAGATAGTATATGTAAAGGATATTGCCCAGAACCTGGCATCTAGCAAGTACTCAAGAAATGGTCATTAATTATTATTTGCTTCTACCAAATCCTTAAAGCATTATTATAACTTGGCTCTGAGTAATACCTGGGAGACATGGAGAGGCAAGAGAATACTTTCCTACATTCCTTCACCCCATTCTTCTTAGAAGTCTGGCCACAGTGAGGTTAAGGCCAGCAAGAATTGGCAGCAGCTTTGAGCACTACTACCTTCCCTGCTAGGAACTTATTGCTTTTCTTGCTTCTATGTTCCCACGTCATCATGGAGGCAAAAGTGACATACGTAGGGCTGGAGAGGAGAGATAGCTCGGCAGTTAAGAGCACTGACTATTTTGCAGAAGACCCAGCACCCACATGGCTAACAATCATTTGTAACTCCAGTTTCAGGGGATCCAATACCCTCTTCTGTCCTCCATGGGCACTGCACAACATGGGTACACATGCATACATGTATGCAATACACATAAAATAAAAATAAAGCAACAAAATTTTTTGGTCTTTTTGAGACAGGGTCTCTTTGTAGCCCCAGATGGCCTGGAACTCACTATGTAGACCAGACTGGCCTTGAACTCACAGAGATCTGCCTGCCTCTGCCTCCCAAGTGCTGGGACTAAAGGTATACGCCACTACACCCGCAAAAAAAAAAAAAAAAAAAATTAAGTGACATATGTAGGTGGGCCTTAAAGCTAGCTTAAGAGCCTCTTAAGAGCTTGATATATTTTCCTCTAGACTGTCCAGCTATTTGAAACTTTGGTTCCCAGCACTGTTGTATAAAAACTCTATCTACAAGTAAGAAATAAATCCTGGGTCCTAGGGTCTAGACTTCAGGTAAGCTGCTCTGTAAGGCCTGGAACTTCATCAGTCTCTCATTTACCTTCAGTCCTTGATTAAACATGCTCTAGTTACATTGACAATGGCGTACACATTATTTAAGCTGAGCCTCTGGGGTCAAATGAATTCTCTAGCTCCACCAGAAGGCTACAGAAAACTCAAAGGGTTTTTCCTACGGTGCTTAAGAGGGTACTCTAAGACCTGTTATTTGGAAAGGCACTAGCTTGTGATTTAGCACCATACTCTGTCTGAAAAGTCAAGGTCCTCAGAATCATGCAGAGTAGAGCAATAACAATTCAGATACCCTAGGTCTGAGGCAGACTGTTTTAGGGAGGCCTTGCTGCCTCCGCTCCCCATCCTCATCCCATAGGGGCACTCACGTTGCAGGCAGTCGGCATTGAGCAGATCCTGGCACTTCTCATGGCACTTGACTCCACACTCGCTGCAGCGCATACCCTGCCGGGCAAGGCCCCAAAGCAGGCCTTCACACTCATAGCAGTAGGTAGGAGTAGTGGCTGACCAGACCTCAAAGTTGTGGGGTGTGGTGCACGAGATGGGGTAGAGTAAGGCCTGAAGGGTTTTCTTATATACATGGGATTTCTGAAAGACAGATATCCATCACACACCAATGACTTTATAACCCTGCTGGAAGATGCCAGAGCTGAGACTCTATGGGACAGTCAGGTCCCTGGTTTCTCCTGTCAGTGAGGAAGTCACCCTAGGCTGGCCTGGCCCAGCCTGACACAGAGAAGGCTGCATCAAAGTGTACTTCCAGCTGTCCAACACGGACCAATGTTGAGTCTGAGCACTCACACATTCCGGAGCCAGGCTCACCAAAGAATCCTGAGACTGGCGGTCATGTACTTCAGCACTTCAGTCCGGACCCTTGCTTCTCAGAAGACTGAGACCAGATGCTATCCTGGCAATATATTCCCAGCATTCCTAAATTCCTAGTTAGGATGGCTACAGAAATGATCAGTCCTGAAGCCAGTGGACTCACAAAAGTCCATGAGTCACTTACCAGCTCTTCATCCTTGAGAGAGGTACGTGTAGCCATTGCAGAAGTAATCCCCGCCTTCCGGGACTGGACCAGTGACTGTGAGAGAAGACTTGCCTATCAGCCCTGGCCACCACCAAAGACTGGCAAAGTCCTGGGGAGGTAGCTTCAGTTCCCAAAGCCACGTGACTATAACTGATACCATTCTGTTTCTTAGTATCACTCAGGGACTACCCCTGGGCAATAGGTAACAATGTCCCAGGTTAAGATGTAAAACCCTAGACCCTCAAGGGACTGTTCTAGCAATGTTAGAACAGCACTTCCTTCAGGGCATCTACCATCCAAAGGGCTTCTCTCTCACACTATTCTTAGGTGTTTTATCCCACAGAAACTCCTTGTCTATGAGAAGGCAAAGGAAAAATGAAATGCTTAGAATTATAGTAAGAAACAGGTCATAAGAATAAGAGACGCACTTTATCAGAGTCACACAGAAGCATCACTTCAAACAATGAGTCCATGCTGACCCCATCCCCGGGTACCTCCCCGTGCTCAATTTACTGGGGGATATAAAAGCTAGCAACCCAAATAAGCAGGGCATTTGGCAAGTAAAAGGGGACAGTGGAAGTTAGACAGGGTAGGGAGTTAATTATGAGAACTAGGGCTGTCCTGAAAACCAGGTTCTTGTGTAGAGGGACTTCATGTATCTACCAAACCCAAATCTTAAGTGTAGACCTTGGAAGACACATGGTTTCATTAAGGCACAAGATACTGGACAGATAGAATTCATATCAGTCTAAGCAGGAAAATTATCTGAGAGAGCCCTGAGTAATTTGGGGTGTGAACTCTCAGGAGGATGGGGAAGGGCTCTGGAGGCACTCACCATGGCCTGTGTAGAGGAGAAGCAAAGAAAGGAACAACAGTATGTTAAAGTCCCCTAAGGGCACAGAATCTTTGAGAGGTAACTAAGAGGTTCTTCCCTATAGTTTAGTGTAGGAACATGCTTCAATTCCCTCTCCCTCTATCCACTAAAAACTGTCTCAAATCCAGAGAGCTGGCCAGGGCTCAGGATTGGAGTGGACACTCTAAGGACAGTTATGCCTCAAAGTGAAAGACAGGCAAGGGTGAAAGACAGAGCTGGGGGGAGCACGTCATGACCCAGATACTTGCTTGTGGACAAGAAGTGAGCAGTGTGAAAAGAAGAAGAAAAGAAACAAAAGGAAGGTGAGATCAGAGATAGTGAAGGAAGCGGTAATAAAGAAAATATGACATCAGAATTTACCTTCTGCCAGCTAGATGCAAAGCTGCTGGAAGAAGGCAAACAGGAAGGGAGAGAGAGAAAGAAGATACAGAAATGACAGGGAAAAAAGCAAAGAAATGATGAGGACAGAATGGAGGTTGGCACTGCCATTCAATCAGCTAAGGAAGGAGAAACTAGTGGGAAAAACAGAGAACACAGAGTAAAAGAGAAAACAAAGAGTGGATAAAACAGAGTGGAGAGACTAGAATGATAAAGATCAGGAACAGAGAAGGGTGATAAGGGTCTTCCGGACCCCTTGTATCTTACACCTGGCTTCAGAGCTCAGGGCCTTTGGGACAGCTTAGGGATCACTCTATTCCCACCACTCACAGGCTAAAGAAGATTCCTCAAACTGATCCTGCTTGAGAAAGTATGGCCTACAATAGGGGCTTTTGGCCATCCTGGAGGTTCTGGGAGCAGCTTTAACTCCTAAGCCTACTGCAATTCAGTTCCACAAATGTTTTATCATTTCTTCTCAATGCCAGACATTAAGTTAACAGAGACAATCTAGAAAACTTATGTTTTAGGAGGAGGCTTTCATTTGACCTCTAGGAAGTGATCAAGCTCCAGTTACACACCAAGGCTCAATAATCTAAATCAAGGGCCAAGAGTCAGTTTCCAGTCTAGGCTATCAAAGAAGGTTGCAGAGCTATCTAGAGGAGTTATCTAACTCTGGTGGAAGACCCCAGATAGAGTACAGCATTGAAGGCATAAACCACAAATGTTCTGGGTAGAAACTTGACCCATTAAAGAACCCAGGGCTCTTGACTTGGGAGTAAGTTAGAACAAGGTCCAACTGAAGCCATCATCAAGTCTCAGTAAGTCTGAAATGACTAATCATCAGACTTGAGTCAGTATGAGTCACTAAATGGGCAACTTCTAATCCTGACAGCTTGCCAAGGCCCAGTGGGGGGTAAACTCCAACTGCTTAAGCTTGCACCAGGATCTTCACTCACCAGGTCACTGACAAGTGGCAGTGGCTTCTTTCTACGTAGATCTGGCATGCTGTCAATGCCATAGAGCCCTCCAGCTGGCCTAAGGAGAGAAGAAAATGGACTTTTAGTACAGCCTTGACTTGGTGGTTCTGTGTTCCATTCTCCTTGCTCTGCCTCTGCCCAGAGGATGATGAACCTTTGTACATTTGAGACAGTTAAGGAAGGCAGTAAGTAAAGGAAGGAAAACCAAGGGATAAGTGATGGAATCTTTTCTCAAAGTGCTCTCAATACTTCCAACTAAGGATGGCAAGAGCTCTTTCATCTCACTGGGACAGTTCAAGCATTTCTGTTTACCTGAAGATGCTTGTCTCCAGAAGACAAGGTGGGAAATAGGGACCAAGAAGGTTTCTGCCCACACAGACCAGAGACCTAATTAAGTTTTGTATGGTCCAGGCTAGAACAGCGCCCACAGGAGTTGATTCTACCAGAAGGGCCCCCTGCTTAGGTGAGCAAGACTACCAGACAATGATATGTAGAGGAAGACCTCTACCTAATAGTAAGAGAATTATCTATTCTGTCTACTCAAGTCTTTGAAAAGAAGGGTCTCCATGGAGAGATAAGCCCTTATAACCCAGAAAAGACAGAGGAAATGGGACAGGAAACTTGCAAAATCACAAGGGGTGGGAGTAGGAAAGAAACAGCAAAGAGACTCTGGACAAATTCTAAAAGCTATCAACAGAGACCAGAAAAAGATTCCAGCTATAGCAATTGAAGATTTCTAAAGCCGCTTACACTTTTACTATACTTATTATTTTTGTTGTGCAATAACAATGCACAATTTTTTTAAAAATTGAAAAAAAAAAACCAAAACAGAGCACACCTCTAAAAGAACAGTGTTTAATTAATATAACCTGAATTCTAGCAGCAGCTCTGCTAACCCCTATATCTTCCGCTCTGTCTCCTTCTTCTCTTTCGGCCTTAGTGCCACTTCTATAAAATGAAGTTGGGGGAGGGGTGGAGCTCTTTGCCCTTTGAATGCTGAAATTATGATCCATAATGAAACAAAGCAAAATTAACAAAACCTCCATGTACTTAAGTTTTGTTTTGAGACAGGGTTTCATTATTTTATCCAGGCTGACCTTGAACTTAGTATGTATAGTCCAGGCTGGCCTCAAACTCATGGTCCTCCTGCCTCAGCCTCATGAGTATTGAGATTACAGGTATACATCACCATACTCAACTAATTATGTACTTGATTTTTTTTTGAGACAGGGTCTCCTTGTAGCCTCAGTTGGCCTGGAATTCACTATGTAGACCAGGCTGGCCTCGTCCTTACAGAGACCACACTTGGCCCATGTGTGCTTTAATAGAACAATGAGGTAGAGATCCTAGGTAGCAGGGTTATATACCATACTTGCTCTAAAGATGAAGTCCCAGAAGAATAAGTAGGCACTTCCATGATATAGGCATAAAAGGAAGCCACAACTTGGGTCAAGGCCAGGTGTTGGAACACTCAGCTCAACATGCCAATTTCTAATAAATTAGCTCCCTCAGCACAGGCAGTGCTTTGTTTTAATGAGATGACCAGGCCTAGGAATCTCTGGATTTGACACAGCTTCCAAGGACTAGGTTCAAGGACAGAAAGGAAGACAAGGGGGAATTATTTTGAAAACCCTTGAATGCCATTTAAAACCAGTTTGGATAAGCTCCACTGACACGTGCATATTTTACAATTATTACAAGAAAAAGCTCATTGAAGAAGCAACTAATGATACAAGCTTGTAGTGAAGTCTAACAACTAAAACATGCTCTGCTTAAGCCAAGGGTTTTTTGCAACATAAACTGTCTTTTGAAAAAGCAGAGTGGTTCATTCAAATGACTGACCTTGATTAAAAGAAGTCAAATGGGGCTGGAGAGGGTCAGTGCTCTTAACCCTTGGGGCTCAGCGGTTAAGAGCACTGACTGCTCTTGCAGAGGGCCCAGGTTTGATTCCCAACACCCACATGACGGCTACGAACCGTCCTTAACTACAGTTCTGGGGAATCTGATACCCTCTTTTGACCTCTGCAGCATTGCATGACATGGTGTACTCACATACATGCAGGCAATACACTCATACACATAAAATAAAAATAAAAAAAATTTCAAAAATAAAAGAAGACAGGGGCTGGAGAGATGGCTCAGAGGTCAAGAGCACTGACTGCTCTTGTAGGGGACCTGGGTTTGATTCTCAGCACCCACATGGCGGCTAACAACCGTCCTTAACTCCAGTTCCAGGGGAATCCAAAGCACTCTTCTGACCTCCGTGGCTTTGCATGACACGGGTGCACTCACAAACATGCAGGCAATACATGTTTAAAAAAATTAAAAAAAAATTTTTTTTTAATTAAAAAAAAGGAAGACAAATGGTATGTGTGTGTCTGTGTGTGTGGGTCTCTCTCTGTGTGTCTGTGTATGTGTGTGTCTGTGTCTGTGTGTGAAAATCTAGTAGATAACTCTATGATCTGATATGCTTCCCTGGCTATGAAGCACAAAGGCATGCATTATTGGTCCTCTGGAGACTTCTGGTAACTTTGGGAGGAGGCAACTGATAAGTCTGATGTCAGAAACCTTTGTAGGGTAAAAGGAAAAGGTCAGAACATGAACTGGCAGTGTGTGTGTGGGAGAACGGGGCACTGGGAGGCACTTGAACTCCTCTCTTAAGAACAGTCAGTCCTATGGGCAGCAGTTGAGCAGCTTACATGACTCTGATACAATCACATGGGTCTGAAACTCGCAGACACGAAGCACAGACAGAACACACAGAACTCAGAAGGGATGCTACTTATGTCTTGACTAGAGTGGAATGTAATAAGTGACTCACAACAGCTGAAGCAAGACCAAGCCCTGGGAGCAATCTAATCAGCTACACCATCAAGAATGAAGAAAGAAAATGTTTTCAAATGAAGATATATATTTTTAATGTCTTTATCGTCTAGATAAAATATATGTCACCATTGTAAGAAATTACAGAGGCAAGGATGGAGAGCCCTCACACACCTTCCCAGGGGAACCACTGTGCAAAGTTCCCCTTTTTGCCTCTAAGGAGTCAGTCAGCAGTTCTCTCCTCCACCCTGGGGAAACTGCCAACCAACAGTGGAACTCTTCCTTCCTCTGCCACAATCCAGCATATGGAGCTATCTCCCATATTTCCCACAAGAAAAGCTAAAAGTAGACAGACTGGATCAAATCCACAGGAAGCTTACAGAGAACCACTTACCCTTCTGGGAGCCACTGAGGCAGAGAGGGGTCGCCATCATCTGGAATCTTTAAAAAGAGAGAAAAAAAGTTAGATCATGGGAAAAATGAGAGACTGCCTATTGGTTGGGTAGTGGGCAACACAGGTTATAAACCATTTGTTGACAGACTCAGTCTGATGTACCCTATCATCTAGGGCAACCAACAGGCTGCTGAAATGAGGAGTACTTGACTTCCTTCTACAGTGAACAGAAAGGCCAAGCTCACGGAGGTCTCAGGGCTAAGGCCCACTGGGACCACAACAGCTGCCAGAATTCGTATTACTCTTACACAGGCCACTGGTGTACAGCAGAAGGGCCTGCTCGGGATTTCAGCCTTACCGAAGCAAAAGGACATTTTTGTTGTTGTTGTTGTTGTTGCTGTTGTATTTTGAGACAGGGTCTCACTATGTAGCCTCAGCTGGTCTAGAACTTGGTATGTAGACCAGGCTGGCCTTGAACTCACAGAGATTTGCCTGTCTCTGACTCCCCTGGGAGTGCTGGGATTAAAGGTGTGCACCACCACACCTGACACACAAGGACAATTTGATGTAGTTTGGGAAACTCAAATCTCTAGCTCACTGAGTATGCAAGTATGAGCCCAGATTCTACATCTGACAAACTAGAAAGAGATAACAGGACAGATAAATATTTAGGTTAAGTATTTTATAGGCCCTAGAATAGGAAGCTGAAAGCTGAGATACCAAATAATTCAAGTTAAAAGAGTTAAAAAATAAAATAAAAATCACTTTTTAAAGGCTTCTGCACAAAACAAACAAAAAACAAAACAAGAAAAACAAGCAAAATTTTTAGTGCAGTGAAAAGAGAGTTCCAAAGTTACCAGAGGTCTCCGGAGAGCCAATGATGCTTTTCTGGACCAAGAACCTAGTAGTAGCAAGTCTTGGGCTTCTTGCCTTTCTTTGTCTCTTTAGCCCAACTCTGCCCGCTAACTGTCCTGGTGCAAGTGAGCTCCAGAAGGGAGGCAGAAGTAAGATGCTTAGCTTTGGATGGGAGTGATGTTCCAGGGAAAGCTAAATGTAGGAGAATTTGTGGATACAATGAGGCAAGACAGAACAGAGTGGGGAGCTGGGACAGGGCTAACAGGTGACAGAAAGGGCAATAAGCTCAGATGACCTCTGGATTTAAGATCTTTATCAATAAGCTACTTGTTAGATTGTCTAAGCTTTAACTTTTCTGTCCATGTCCCCTTTCCACTTCATCTGCTCCTGCCCTGGTTTCGCGGTGGGTTGATAATGGTAACACGGAGGGCTACAAACAAAAGGCAGCAAGGAGTGGCTAAAGCAAACAGCAATGGTACAACAGAGGAAACAGAAGGTAGGAAATAATGAAGAATGTCAAGCCCCTAAAGATGCTAGGGGACAGAGGCATGGGCTAAGCTAGATCCTACCAACCAGAACTTATCTTCCCTTTTGAAACAGTTACTGTACTGAGCAGATTCTTGTTTCTTTTATAGTTCTCAGAATTAGACATTTGCCAGAAACTACTTGGCTTAAGAAAACAGTCACAAAAAGTCTTTGGGAGCTAGACCCGGATCATGCACACTTCCTGCACTGAGAGAAGACAACAGTTTGCAGAAGCACAGAGCATGCATACACAGCACACTGAAGGAAGAAGTCGGGAGAGGCAGAGCCAAAATACTTATGGAAAGCATAGTCATAGTCACAACTTGTACCTAAAGGAAAAACAAGGTTAGCATGAATCTTACATTTACGGGTTCAGAACCCACATACAAACTCATTTGAGCAGGATTCACAATGTTCGCTAAGGCCCAAGTCACAAGCAAATGTACACCCTCACTAAATTCAAGAACCTGTGCTTATAGGCACAGGGTACTTCATGAGGCTTTAGAGGACCATATAACAGGTCTACAGAGATTTATGCCCACAGACAGGCCAGGGAGCCTGCTCAGAAGCACAAAACACTTTTCACTTAGGGCCCCAGACAAGGGACAAAAATATCTGTGGAAACGCCTGCTCTCAAATACAAAGTATGTGTGCATGCTGGGCTCAGCCAGGGGTCACAGCATATGCCAGTCTGCAGCAACAAGTAGAAATGGATACACACTGTGCAAACTAGAAGAGAGTGATCAAATGTGTTGCAGAGTCGGACTAAGTACAAGTATAAGCACACACATGCTATGCTGAATGTGTATCCATGCCGGCGCGCACACATTCTCCCACGGTGCTCCAGGAAAGGTGGCAGGAGCACACACAGCATGAAGCATGCATACAAACTTCTTTCTGGAAAGTTATATTATCTACATGAGCCATAGCTCAGGCACAAATCATGCACACATACACACACAGCACTCAGAGAGCAAGGTAGAAAATAGACAACAAATAGGCCCGAATGGCCAGAGGCATAACCTGAAGGGCTTCTCGCTTTCCTTCTGCAGGAGAGAAAGAGCAGGAAAAAACAGAAAGGGCAGAAGGTTAGCAGATTCAGTTCTATAGCAGGAACCCAAAGAGAATGCCAGCTAATCCCAAGGGACACAGAGGAACTGGACACCAGGGCAGGCCATGAAGCCCACATGATTGGCTCCCGCAACCTTTACTGCCTGTGTTTGCTGGCCTTTGATTTTTAGTTTGACCTTCTCAGGGGGGTACTTAACCAAAAGGACAAAGTCTGCTTGGGGATTCCACTTGTCCTTTCCCCCACAAAGTGGTCTGTGACCAGAGTTAGGACTGCCAACACCATGGAACCAGACTCATTACCAAAGATTCCTCCTGCAGGCAGGCCAAGCTGCTGAGCAGAGTGCATGCCTTCTTCAATTCCATATGACCCTAATTCTGGATCTGGAAAAAAATCTTCAAATCGTAAGCATGATGGTTGAGTCTTTTCCATTCTGCAGTGTAGACTTAGTCATGCATTTGATCCATGTTTCTCTGAATTATGTTAGGCCAAAATAGGCCTGGAGTTACAGCCAGGATCAAGATGCTGAACATGTAGAGGCCTTGGGGCTTCAACTGCTCTAACAGGAATGATAGTGACTTGGATAATAAAACCATGACTCCAATCTCAGGTTTGATTTATCAAGACCAGAACAATATTCCAAAGGAAATGGACATTCAGACAAGTTTAAGTAAGCTGCAATGAAAGGTCAAGTCCAGAGATTACTCCTTTTCTATTCCTCAGAGACTGCACTGCTTTGCAGGGCTACATGTAGTCAGGCCCATAGGCTTCCTTCTCTCTGGAATCAACCCAGCTAGGCCCTTCCACTTTCTTTTCTTTCCATTAAAACAAACAAGCAAACAAAAAAAAAACAAGAAAACATCATAAATAGAAGAAACTAATCCACAAGTTCCTAAATTTTCAAGCTGTTTCTGATGGTCAAATGGATCATTCGTCCAGACAGAAGAATGAACTCAGTAGTAGGAACTCCCCCCGTAACAGGGCAGTTCTGGGAAGCTGGGTGAGGAGAGAAAGGTACTTTCTGGAACAGGAATATATTTCTTCCACATCCACATCCTACTCACCAAGTACACTCTGCTCTCTCTGAATAAAAAATTAAGCAAGGACTACTTTGACCCTAGAACTCAAATAGAAATGTTTCTTCTCCACTTCTTAAATACACTTTACACATCATGTCAGTATTTTGATTATTCCTGCTCCCCCAGCTTTCACCATAATAGCTCAAAAATAAAATGTAATCAGTTGAGAGGCTGGGGAAATGGCTCAGTTGATAAAATGCTTGCTGTATAAGATTGAGGACTGGAGTTCAGATTCCTAGAACCCAAATAAATGCCACTTGGGTATGGAACCCACCTGTAATTCCAGTACTTGGGAGGCAGAGACAGGGGATCCTTGGAGCAAGGTGGCTGGCTAGACTAGCTGCATCAGTGAACTCTGGGTTCAATTAAGAGACCTGCCTCAAAGAATAAGTGGAGAGCCATCAAGAAAGACTCCTGATGTCAACCTCACCTGTGCATGTGTCCGTGCACACACACGTGCACCCACATACATGCGAACATACACTCAGCTGACAAGTCCATCAAGACTCTTCAGGATTTGATTCTAATCCCAAGTTTTCTCCCCCATCAACTTTCTTAGATTCATGCACTTCCTACAGTCTAATTCCCACAAAATTCCACGTTTGTTTTCTCATTCTGTTCACCAGCCTGAAACAACCATCCCTGATGCCCACCCAAGCAGGAGTTAACTGAGCCCTCCTAAGACACCTCAGTTCTGGTTAGCCTTCTCTTTAGTCCCTACCAAACCACGCCTTGACAAATCCTACCACTGTGCCAAATGACTATCAAGACAAATATATGCAGATGTTGAGTCTCTCCTTATACTCGGAAGCTTTCTCTCCCCTCCCTGGCTGCTGCTCCAACAGAAGTAGTTATACCTGACTTTCAGGTCCCTACTTTAGCCTAGCATGCAAACAACTGCCTATTGCATAGCACCTGGATATCCCATGTTTAGTTCAAATTCAGCATATCTTTAAAAAAAAGCATTAAGCTCTCCTTCTCATATCCAAGACCCAAAATAATCCCTCCCCATCCATAGCCAGATAACTGGATTCCTCCCTCTTTTCAATTCAGTTGATCATCTGTCCCTCTATAATCTACCTCTTAAATATCTCTGACATCCTTTTGTGCTCTGTATTCTAAACTGCCACTGTCTTAGTGCAAACCTTCATTGTTTTTTATCTGGACTGTAGTAAGAAACTCTATGCTAAGTTCCCTAGCACCAGACATGCTCTCTCCAAACCATATTTCACTCTTTATTTCAAAATGTCCACCACAGTTTTCCTTTGCTTAATTGAGTCAATGGCTTACCATTTCTTATTACAGCATATAAGGAACTGCCTTATAATTTCTCTACCATTCTAACTTACCCTTCTTCCTCTCCTCTACATCTGTTCATTGATTCCCTAGGCATCTGCCTCCCAAGTCCACAAAGTGGGCCAGGACTTACTCTTTAAGACTTAGCTCAAATATTAACACCTCCGTGAAATTTCTTTGACTTCCAAAGGAAGAATTAGGCATCTCTCTACCACATGTCACTAGTACCTACTCTAGCTGGGCATGCTGGCATACACCTTTACACCCATCATGTGGGAGGCAGAGGCAGGCAGATCTTTGAGTTTGAGGCCATCCTGGTTTACATAGTTCTAGCACAGCCAGGGCTACAGGCAGAGCCTGTCTCCAAAAAAACCTAAATAAAGAAATAAACAGTGCCCACTCTTCCATGTGCACTTCTTATGACAATATAGTATCAGTGCTGTTTCATCACAGTTGTCTGTATAAGCATTTCCCATTATACTTCTTGAGAACTGTGAACTTCTTTTGTGAGTGAGTATGTATGTATGTATGTATGTATGTATGTATGTATGTACGTATGTATATGTACATGTAGAGTCCAAAAACCAGTGTCAGTGTCTTTCTCAATCACTCTCCACCTTACTTTTTTTGTTAATGCCAAGGAATACATGTGGAGGTCAGAAGATAACTTGCAGGAGTTGGTTCTTTCCTTCCATTATGTGCGGCCCAGGGATAGAATTCAGACTGTCAGACTAAGTGGGAAGCACCTTTATCCACTCAGCCATCCCACCAGCCCTCTCTACTTTACTTTTTGAGACAGTGCCTTCCACTGAACCTGGAGCTCACTGATTTGGGTAGACTGGCTGATACTCAGCAAGCTCCAGAGATCCTCCTGTCTCTACCCCAGGTGCTGGGATTACAAAGTGTATACCTCAGTGCCTTACTTTGTATGTGAGTGCTGGGGATTGAACTCAGATTCTTGTGCTTATATGACAAGCACTTTACCAACTGAGCCATTTCCTCCATCTGAAAACTGTGAACTTCTTGAGACTATCTTGTGAATAATGATTCTACAAACTTCTTGAGAGCCAAGCATTTGTATATTTAATTTTACCTTTGTAGCCTGAGGGCCCAGCATATCTAGCACTTGTATTTAGCAAAATAATCTGTGAATTTCAGGACTTAGAAACAAAAGTCTTTCTAAGAAAATCCCTCTTGTCCAGGACCAAAGAAAATATGTCAACAACCTGTACCATTTTCAGAGGTAGAGGCTGAAGAATCAGAGGTTCAAGGTTATCCTCAGCTACACAGTGAGTTGGATACCAGGTTAATACACATGAGATTCTCCCTCAAAAAAATATATTTTAATGAAAAGTTGTCAGGGAGTTCTCATTGTTAAGATATTTAAGTAGAGATGTGAAGGAAAAGAATAAAAAGATCATTCACAGTCCTAGGAGAAAAGTATTTTAGGTATAATATACAGCAAGTGTGAAACCTAACGTGAGAGCATAATTGGTTTGGAAGAATAACAAGTTTTCAATAAAGTGCCAGCTCAAGCAGGCCTCTAGAAGAACTTTGGCTTTCAATCTGGATGAGAGAGAAAAATCACCAGAAGGTTTTGAGCCAAGAAGCAAAGCGAGCTGTTCTGTAACAATTATTCTGATAGCTGTGGGAGAACAGACTGTGGAAGGACAGGGGTAGAAACAGGGAGACCAGTTAGACTACTGCAATAATCTTGATGAAAGAAAACAGTGGCTTAGGCAGGGGTGAATGTGATAGAGTAGAGGTTATTGTGTGAAAAATAGAGGATGGGCCAGCAAGATGGCTCAGTAGGTCAAGGTACTTGTTGCCAAGACTGATGGCCTGAGTTTGATCTCCCAAACTCACAGGATGGAAAGAAAGAACTGATTCCTGCAAATTGTCCTCTGACCAACATATGTGTACTGTGGCACATGTATACACACATGAAAACACAATAAATAATAAATAAATATAAAAATTAAAAGTAGAGGAGGCAAAATTTACTAATGGACTGGATGTTAGTTGTGAGAAAAAAGAAATCAGGAATTACCACAATTTATTGGTAAATAAAACTAGATAAAATACAATATTGTCAGAATTAGGGAGAAAGGTCTAGACTTTGGTTTTGTATGTGCCAAATCTGAGGTGTTTACTTCCTAATGAGGATGTTACAGAGATGTGGAGTGGTATTCATTGAAGATGTCTGGACTTGAACTGTAAAACTGGGAATGATGAGAAATTCATAAGATTGGAGGATTATCAACCTAGAAGGTGTGAGTAAACAGAAGTGGCAAAGTTGAACCGTAGGCTGTTAGAAGGCTAAAGAGATGAGGAAAGACCAGCAAACGTAACCCCCTTGAAAGCAATGGTGGAAGAAAACAAGAGAGAGGGAGAGAGGACGGGGGGAGAGAGAGAGATAGAGAGAGAGACAGAGACAGAGACAGAGAGAGAAAGACAGCTGTAGCTGTTACAGAAGCCAAGTGAAGAAAATGTTTCAAAAAGAACTGGGGCATAAAGGCACACAAAAGATCAAAGGAAAGGACTGGGAGTCCAGAAATAACATCCCACACTTATGGTCAGTTCATTTTTGACAAAAGTGCTAAGATCATCTAAGGGGAAAAGAATAGTTTAATAAATCATGGTAGGCAATTGGACATACGGAATGCACAAGAATGAGGTTGAACTCTACCTTGCACCACTCACAAAGCAAGTCCAAATGGATCACAGACCCACATATATGAGCTAAAACTATAACTCTTGGGAAAAACAACAAGAACAAAGGAGTGGGGCTTGGGCGATGGCTCAGTCATGAAGTGCCTGCTGTGCAAGCATGAGGATCTGAGTCTGACTCTCCAGCACCCACGTAAAAAGTGGGGTATAGTGCCATATGTCTGTAACCTTAGTACAGGGTAGGAGTTGGGTGGAGACAGGCTGAGCCCCTGAGCTCAATGGCCAGATAGTCTAGCCAATCAATGAGCTCTGGGCTCAAGGAGAGATCCTGTCTCAAAAAATAAGGTGGAAAGCAATAGAGGAAGATTACCGAATGTATCAACCTCTGGTCTCCACAGTAACACACATATATACAAGCACACACTCACATACACACTATACCACACACACACACACACACACACACACACACACACAGGATTAAATCTTTAACATTTTGGATTAAATGAGTTTCTTAGCTATGACAGCAAATCATAATCAACAGAAGAAAAAAATGGATAAACTGAATTTCATAAAAATTTAGAACTTTTAGCTAGACATAGTGGCACATGTCTTTGATCCCAGCACTTGGGTGGCAGAGACAGGTGAATCTCTGTGAGATCAAAGCCAGTCTGGTCTACATAGCAAGTTCCAGGCCAGCTTGTGGCTACAGGGAGGCCCTGTCTCAAAACAACAACAACAACAACAATAACAACAACGAAACACTTCTGTGGTCTGCTTCATATCAATTATGATGGCTCATTAAAATAACACTTAAAAAAATGTTAGAGACCCCATGGAGAAACTAGAATTCCTGTGCACTATTGCTGGGAATATAAAAGTAGGCACTTTCCCTAAAGTGTTAAACATAGAGTTACTACATAAACCAGAAATTCTACTTCTAGGTAAAAACCCAAGAACTCTTCTCACTTCTAGGTGTACCAGGAACTCCAGCACAGGGGAAGCTGAGGCAAGAGGAATATGAGTCTAAGAACTGGAACACATGGCACCACTCTGATGCAAAAACAATGAAAATAAAAACAGAACACAAAAAACAAGCCCAACAACAACAACAAAAATCCTAATGATAAGCTACAACTGTAACAGTAAGCTTGGGCCCCAAACGGTATCAAGCAGTATAGTGAAAAAAGTAGATTTTTCAAATACTTCATTGGGGCAGCATCTGGAAAACAAGAAGAGCAAGGCAAATCTGCATGACAGCACAGTTCCTTTAGGAGATGTACAGCACAACAACAGAAGACAAACCTGAAAATATAAACCAGCGACCAGCTAAAGTAACCTCGAATGCCTAATGAAGGAATTTAGACGACACACATGCACGCACGCTAACAGGAACAGCCCCCGGGATATTTGGAAAGAGAGTGATATGATTTCATTTTCTAAACTGAATTTTATGACTTTATATTACATTTATATTATTTAAGTTCTAAGATGTTTAAGAGGCTATAGCAGGAAAAAACCCACAACCCCATCACATCCCATTTAGTTTTTCACCTGATACATCTTTTCCCATGGGGAACCATATACAGCAATGTGGTGCATAACATTTAGGCAAACAACAGGCTACACATAAGAATGTTGTATGTCATGCAGCATATAACAGGTCTTCTCTAGACTAAGCCATCTAGGTTTGTGTAAATATACATAATGAGGAAACTACCCAATAGTGATTTCTCAGACTGTATTTCTGTCAAGTAACATATGACTACACCAGTTTCTCATGCATCTTTCCCTAGATATTCATTACATATACTAGAAGCAGGCCCTGTGGGATGTAGTCTTTCCCTTCCTTTTTATATAAATGAAAGCATCGTATACATACTGTTCTGCACTGTGCTATTTTCATGTGTTCATATATCTTAGGTAGTTTTCCATTTGAGTAAAGAGCTACCTCGTTCTTTTTATAGCCATATCATGCTGCATTCCATTGTTTGTAAGTGCCAAATAATTTATTTAATCATATTTAAAGGACATTTAGGTTGTTTTCAATCCTTATGTTAAAAAAAAAAAAAACAATGCTCCAAAAATAGCCTTGTTTGTACATATGCCATTTCCACATGTGAAAATATGTCTGCAGGATACATTTCTGGAAGTAAGGCTAAGGGCTCAAAAGGGGTGTGTGTGTGTGTGTGTGTGTGTGTGTGTGTGTGTGTGTGTGAGACAGACATGAGAGAGAGAGAGAGACACGAGGGGCAGGAGTGGTCTGTGTGTGTGTGTGTGTGTGTGTGTGTGTGTGTGTGTGTGTGTGTGTGTGTGTGTGTTGTATATCAACATATTTATAATGTTGATAAATCTTGCCAAATGCTTTCCTTAGAGGTTATACCAATTTACACCCCATTCTACCAGCACTGCATGAGTACCAATCCCTCACACCTTTGCCAACACAATATGCTTCATAATTTTAGTTCTGTCTTGGGAAAACTAATCAGATTATATGCAAAAGAGGATAACCCCATTTACATTTTAAATTGGATGAATATAGCATATGCTCTTTGGATAAATTTAATTTTGATTGGGAGAAGAAATTTTTAAAACTACGTATTTCCATACTGCCTAGGAAAAAAGGTTCTCTCATTTCCTATAGTCACAAAACATATTTATTTCTTCAATTCTCATGTAGCCAGGGAAAGGGAATATAGCCTATGGAGGGCAGCTAGGCCCTTGGGAGGGCCAGTACTATAAGCAATCTGCTCCTGGACACTTCAAATCAGAAGTAAGTCAGAAGTGGGCAAGGCCAGGACTAGGAAGGAGACAGATAAGGGTAGGAAATTTCCAGGGACCATGATGCAGAGAAGCACCATCAACTGCTGGGGAAATGGCAAGCTTTCAAAAGAAGATCATGAAAAATAATTTTTAAAATGCAACATAAAATTCTTTTTCTACCCTTATGGTACCAAGGAATAAATGTGTCTCATTTCCCATTCTTGCTTCCCATATCTACTCTACACCTGAATATCCTAAAAGTCCTACAGCTGCAACCTACTTCTGCTCAAATGTTCCTCCTTCTTTTGAAAAGCTACTACTATAATTCCCCCAATATATTGAAATGCCCTAAGGACAGGATCTAGAACCTCCCTCCTGTTACTTTAGAACCCTCTTTCCCTCCAGCTCCCATAGATTTGCTTAAGGTCTATATTCGAGTAATTTAGACTTATTCAAACCATGGAGCAGCCCCAATCACTTTATGAAACTCGCCACCATTCAGGTCTCAAGCTGCCCAGATGGAGGCCATACTGAGCCAGCTAGGATCCCATTACATAGAAACAGAATACCTGAAGGCATATCTTCCACTGAAAGATGATTTGCCTCCTGTACTAGATCTTGCAAAAGCTTTTTCTGCCTCAGTTTCTTCTCTCTTAGAACATTTTTAAAATTGTTGATGCACTTGTTGAGGTAAATGGTCTCTGCACACACTTGCTCTAAGCTCAGTTTGCCTTGATTAGGAGAGTCAAGCCTGGAACAAGTCTCAAATCCCAGACATGGGGCCAGAGGGAATATGGGCAATGAATTTGCAAGAGAGGAGTTATTAGAAGTAAGAGAAAAGTTGTTTGCATCTTGAGGGGTTTGGTCATCCTGTGTAGAGATGCCTGCTCCACCAAACACCATACTGAGCAAGCTCTCACTCTCTTGACTTCCAGGGCTGTCTGTGGAACAACTGTGGGTACCCCCTGAACTCAAGGTCCCTAGAAGTCGATCACTGTTCCCTGACTGGGACCCATTCTCATTACTTTCTAGGTCCTCAGGACTGATGGACCCACTGTTGTCCAGCTTTTGAAACACTCCCTGCAGAGCTGAACGAAAGTGGTGAATTGCTCGGCTCAGCTTAGTTGTGTAAAATTTTATTTCCACATCCTCACCCTCCTCCGAGCCACCCAGGGAGGTGGAGGACTTGTCAAGAACATCCTTAAGGACCTGAACAGTGCATTCCTCTTCTTCATTCAGGTCTATATGAACCATGTTACTAAAAGTATCAGGTCCTATGATCATTTCCTCCATCATTCGGCCAGAGCTCAGAGTTGCAGACCTCCTGGACTTGTCTGCCAAAAGGTCCTCCAGCTGCCTTGAGCTCAGAATATCAAGCCTAGCCTCACAGCCTAGAAGCTTGTCCTCTGCATTTACCCCGTCTGTTTTCAGTGACCCAGACAATGGCAGGCAGCTGCTGTCCACACTTTCATCACTACAATCATTTTGTAGCTTTTTCACTTTATATGCTGCAAGTTCTTGGCTGTTCTGTTTGAAAATCTGGGATTTCCCACAATCTTCTGTTTTTGAGATTAACACTGAGGAAGGATGCTCAAATTGTTGGAGGGGTGACAGTTCATCACAATGGTCACTGATTACCTGGGATGCTCCTGATGTTCCTTTTACCTCATCCTCTGCCTTAGTCACATCACTCTGTTTTGCTAGGTTGTCCTTCAGTAGGAAGCAAAGGTCTTGCTGCTCAGAAGCCTGATGCTCCCTATGTTGGTTCTGGGTCTTCATCTGGTATGGTCCCACTGTGCATCTTCTATTCCCTGTTTCCATCTGAAGACCTGGTTTATCCTGGTTTAAAGAATTCCAACTACGATCTTGACGCTGTTGCAAGCATGATACAGACTCCTCTGGGGGATTCTTATAGCCTTGTGGCCAGCCTGGATCTTCTCTGGTGGCAACCCTGACCCCGACACTCTGCAAGAGGATGGATTTCTGCAAGATGAAGTCTCTGTGCTCTAGATGGACGAGTTTCACCACCGTGGGCCTGGGGGCAGGAGCTGTGCCTGCCCTGTATGCCTCTCTGATGTACCTGTTGAACTGCATGCCATTAATACAGAGATGCTTGGCTAGGAAGTTGTTCACAAGTTCCATAGTGTTTTCCCCATCATGTTCAGGAAGTCCATATAGATAAAGAATGGCTTCCTCTCTGGGTCTTCCTACATGGGGTTCCTGGGCCTTTTCCCCCTCACCTACCTTGGCCAGGGAGCTGCTGCCCACATGCAAGCCTTCTATTTCACTCAGTACTGAGTCTACACAGCTAGACACTTCATCAACAGAGCCCCGGACTTGGCTCAAGTGCTGCCGGAGCTCAGCAATCTCACTCTGAAGACGGCTGATGCCTTGCAGCTCTCTGATGATGTACTCCACTACATCCCCCAAAGGCTCTTGCTGTTCACAGCTACACCTTTGGTCAGAACTTCTGGACAAAGGGGGCCTTGTTTGGTTTCTCTCTGAGGGATCTTGACAGTTTGTGGTAATGCTGGCAGATGAAAGTTCCTGAGAATCAGACCCTGACACAGAGGCAGCAGAGGCCAGAGGAAGATGGCTGTTCACCTGTTGCCCAAAGCTACAAAGCTGGGCCAGGTCCCCATCTTTCTCTCCACCAGTGGATGAGGCTGTGGATCCACAGCAAGGAAGCGCAAAGCTATCCTCTGATAAGGATCTAGTAGGGCCTGAAGACTTGTTCTTGCTGCCACACATAGTCTCTGCCTTTACCTTATCTGGTGAAAGGCTGGATGAAGGTCCCAAGGTGACCATGATTTCTTCTTCTGACTCTCGCAACAATCGTTTCATTGTTGCTGTTCTTTGGTTCTTTCTTGTCAGGATGCTTACAAGAAAGTGCCTTGGAAGATAACGGCCTTCCCTGCTTTTTTTTTTTTTTTGTCTGTTTCTAGCAATTATTGCTGACTGATGCTTTAGGCTTAGCCACCAGTGCTGCCTGGAATGACCTCATGTGTGGCCTTCAAACCTGGCACATGCCCTTGGATCCTGTCTTGACTTTTATCCTGTAGCTAGTGAAAAAAGGAAAATTGTGGACTCAGATCAGAAAGAAACAGGAAATTTAAATCAGAATCAAGCATCAAGCAGAGATAAGACCACTGCCTTCAAAAACAATAAAAACCCACCCTGACCAGCCTTCCAACCTTAGCCTTAAAGGCTACAAGAAATCAGTGTTCTCTTCTTGGCTTCCCTTTAGAATATTAATACAAAACCAAATCAAATATTTAATGTTCCAAAGGCATCAATATTGGGAAAAGCCTCTGGGAGGTGGGTGAGGCAAGGTCAATGAGTGGCTTTTACTTAAACCTTCACAAAATTCAGTACTAGGGTCTGACTCAGGGATGAGTAAGTACATGTTTAACCACCAGACTTCAAATCACACATACAATGTAAAGACAAGACATGAAATGTTTCTTTCTTATCCATTTTGTTTTTCTGGTAAACTAGTCAATAGATTATCCCTATCTATGTTTACAGCACAAAGTATTTTCCTTTGTTTAATAATAGCAACCATTCACAACTGACTCAGATGAAGGAGGCTCAGGCGCAGCTTGGTGCAGTTAAATAAATACCAAGGTTCAGCTTTTCTGGCACACAGAGGATCCTTCAAGGCACTACCCTAAGCGCCTGCCAGCATACTGCCACATCTCAAGAACAGAGGGTTGCTACAATCCTCTGATTGGCCTGGAGAGAGCAATGCATGGGGCAAACAGGGAACTGGCTACATTACACAGGACTACGGGCTGCTTTGCTGAAGACAAGACCTGCCACCAGCCTTGTCCCAGGTACTAAGTCATTGGTAATTATAGTACAGAGGGGAAGCTGATCATTATCTTATAAGAGGAGGGCACAAGATTCTTCTTTATTAGGAAGGTGAAAAGTGTAGAGTGGAATAGAGGGGAAAGCAGACATCTAGAAGATGCATGTGCATTACCAATACTCTCTGGTCTTGCTAGGTTACTCTGCAAGGGATAGATAAGCGAGTGACAGACATATATCACCCTTACATTCTTTGACATGAGATAGTATCCCTATTTTTTTACATTTCATCATGATTTCTAAATCTTCTAAACCCTTACCTTTTCTTTTCTTTTCTGTTTTCTTTTCTTTCTTTTCTTTTCTTTTCTTTTCTTTTCGAGACAGGATCTCCCTGTAGCTCCTGCTGGCCTGGAACTTGCTATAATGGCCAGTCTGGCCTCAATCTCAGAAAGTCATCTGCCTCTGCCACCCAAGCACTGGGATTAAAAGTGTATACCACCATACCTGACCCTTACCTTCTTTTATTTTGCCCAAATTAATACTAAAAGGGAAAAACTGACTTAAAGACAAAAGCTGATGCTGGTGTGGTGGTGCACACCTTTAATCCCAGAACTCGGGAGACAGAGGCAGGTGGATCTCTGTGAGTTCCAGGCCAGCCTGGTCTACATAAGGAGTTCCAGGCCAGCTGGGGCTACAGGGAGATTCTGTCTCAATAAAACAAAACAAAAACAATAAAAAAAGAACAAAAACTGATTGTTTTCATGGCAACTCATTTTCAGGAAAAGTCACTGCCAATAACTAGTTTATGGGCCTGAAATTTAAAAGCACTGCACCTCTCTACATTAAGAAGAAGCAGAAGGGACTTGGGATAAAGATGAAGCTGGTGCTTTTTACAGGAAATAACTAGGTCAAGAACCAAAGATGGAAATGAGATGAATTCTCCTTTCCTATCTTTCTGCCTTCTCTCCAACTCTCATAAGAACTCTGCTTTAACAAGGAATTCCTCATCTAAATAAGTTACCTATCCTGTGAGGCTGGAAAGAAGTCCAGTTTCTCCATTATTTACCTCAGTTCTCAAGTCAGGATCAGTCACATGCCTAGTCAGTCTAGCCTTCTGGATACTCCATAGATACAATCTGAATTCTTAGGTTTGGGTCTGATGCCAGTTTCCTAGGCAATTCTTCTAATTACCTCAAATTCTTCCTTCTCTTCTCCCACAAATACAACATCTATATTTCCAAAAGCATTCCTTTTATTCCCCAGCCATACCGGGATTTAGTTTTAGTACCTGGTGTTAGCCTTGAACTCAGTGGTTCTACAAGAGCTGGACCTGTCAGTTAACCTTTTAAAGATGGTCGCAAAGAAGAAAGATTGCTTACTAAACAAAGATGGAGTCTCTGTGTATAACCACATAAGGCCATGAGCAAGTGCTATTGGACTGAGAATCCAGTGACTTAAGTTTAAGTCTTGACCTTGGACTAAACTTTTGTCCTTTCTGTATATCAGTTTCCTCATCTGTAAAGTGGAGGAAATAATTACAGGAATGTTACAAAACTAAAAGGAGAAAACGGATACTTAGCAAAACTGCAAAACACAGCAGTATTATTGTTATTACAGATACAGTGAGTCTTTTAGCCAAAGAAGCATGGACACCATTATCTAAGCCAAACATCCAGTCACCTATTATTTGAGTGAACCATGTCTTCTATCTGTGCCCCTGACTTCTTTCCAAGTCCCTTCTAATGTCTGTCCAGTACAGTGTTATCCTTTTAGTTGCTCCTGCTTTCTTTTATAAGTTTTCTTTGTTGAAGAAAAGGAAGAGCAAATCATTTTGTTTCCAATACTTCACTCGGGGGTCAGGAAGTCTGACATCCTCTCTTGGGCAGGCTTACAACATGAAGAGGAGCAAAAGGCTATAAAGAAGGCAAGCTTTTCCTTTCTATGGTGATTCACAGATTCATTTCCACGTCCTCCAAGGCAAGCCCCATTTTAGTCTAGATGAGGCAGTTGTCAGGATATTCTGACACCTACCTGTTCTGCCCCTCATATCAGTACTCCAGACAGACTTGGCATAGTTTCCGGAAGAGTCCTCTCCATGTGCAGAGGCCATGACACTGGCTAGCTACTGGCTAGCTAGCCACACAGAGGATAAATAGCACAGCCACTGCCCTGTGGCCTCCTTAAAGGTCTGAAGGCAGAGTCACTAACAAATTGGAAATTTCCAACTAGAGCTACCATAGCAACTTCTCCCAGACCCAAACAAAGAGGCTTGCTTCCATTTCAAACAAACAAACAAAGCCCTCCAAACCTTCTTCTGGTAGCCAGGTAGTCATTGTCTCTCTATGAACTGAATTTAAAAATCACCTACTGGGCATACACGTTCTACATGGCACCAAATTCACTCAGTCATCCAGGTCTTCATGGCTCTGAAGCAGGAGATAAACTCAGTGTGATACCTGAAGATTATTCAGTCCCTTTGCTGCAGAGCTCAAGAGAACATCAGAAAAGGGCAATGCCTAGGGCCAGGAGACCTACCAGCCTTCTTCCTAAGTCTCTTCTTTGCTAGACTATTTACAGGAATGAAATGACAGGCGCCAAACTGTGGAAGGACCATCTGATCTCTGAGTCAATTTGAATTAGTAAATACATGAAGAAGATGCCAAGCATTAAGCCATGCTAGGAATATAAGAAACAGTCTCTGCTCTCTAATATGTTAAGGTTCATCATTCTCCACTGATGAAAATGAATGACAATATGAAATGATGTATGTTATTGTCAAGTTAAAATTAAAAGTAAGCATTTAATACAAGAGTGAAGAACAGGAAAGAAGTCAGACGCAAAACCAAGATGGATAAGGCCAGGGAGAGTATTTCAGCAGGGAGAGGGCAAAAGGGGCTCTGGTGCATCTTCAGCTCAAATCCAGCCTTCTAGTTGTCGTCAAGGTAGTCAGTCTATCATTCTGTCTATCCTGTTGGCCTATCCACTCTGGCCAATTCTCCAAACTTCACGCATACACTGAAATGATCATACGATTTCTGTGTTCTTTTCCTAAAAAATGCCTGATACTGGGGAAAATAAGCCCACCTTTTGGGATAGGGATGCTATCTGCACTTGAAAAAGGAATACAGAAAAACAAAATGAATTAAGTGAAAAGTTAAAGCTTTAATAATGAGAAGCTAAGAATTAGAGCAGGGAATAGATACTTAAATTACATTTAATCAGCACCAGGTTACTAAAGAGAAAAATTCTTTAGTATTCTGAAATGGCTGATTCCTTTATTCCTCTCTCTGACTTGTCAAATAAACAAGATTAAGAATGTGACTCTTCCTTGTAAAAATTGCCTCTGACCCAAATCTTGGCTTGAAGAAAACAATCAGGAGCCCATGGGAAATAGGCCAGGATTCTACGAACACATAGAAAGCAGCTCTCAATTTGTGTTAAACAATCACAGCAGGCAGTAAGCCAAAAGCTCTGAGACCCCCAAATGAGGACATATGATTCTGGGCCATTTACCAATTGCGCTGTAAGGCAAATATGGTAAGAGGAAAGGAGTGATTCCTAGGACTATAGTAGGTAGAAGCATTCTCAGGATGTCAATCTGTGGGAAAGAATCAATTCCTAGAGTATCTTATCAGAAGAACGTGATCAGGGCATGTTCTAAGGAGTGAGATTAATGAAAGGAAAAGAGAATGCCCTAGGATCAGGAGCTTAGTAAGATCCATAGTTTCTAGAATGTGCCATCTCTCAACAATCTTGTGGTCGAGCCTATGGAGTGGTTTTGTTTGACTATCATAATGTTTTTCTAAATTCTGAACTTGAAAGCATTATGTAGGACAAATACTCTAGCTTCTCAAAAGCCTAGTTACCACGTGACAGCCTTGTTGTTACTGAGTGGGAAGTTCTTGTTTAAGGGCCCACAGTGGGTATGAACCATATTACATATAGGAAAATATGTTTTGTTTGTTACCAAAATCAAATGCCTAGTACAGGGCCTCACTATGGTAAGCGCAGGGCCTGGCAAACAGTGAGAACTCCATGCCATGGAAAGAATAAGGAATTGATGGTAGAGCTGAACTAGATAGACTCTAGGTTTCCTACTTTCTGATCCACTTCTGTTTCCATGACAACATGCTAACTTCAAGGTCAAGGTTTCCTTTTAGATTGATAGCTAACAACCTGTTCTCATTGTAAAACTAAGTTGGAAACCTCGTCCCAGTAACATTTATTCTCAATTTTCTGGGAATTCACTCAGGACAAAGATTACCAGACTGTGAATTAGCTAATATTTCCCCAGCATATGAGACTGGTGGGGAGAGGCCCCAGGGCTGCTGGATGTCTCCCATCTGCCACTCCAGCATGAGACGGTGCACTGGTCCTTGTGTTAGTGATGGGCCTAGAGCAGCAGTGTCCAACAGAAATACAATGTGAGCCCACCTATGTATTTTAAGTTCTCTAGTAGGCATATAAGAAAGTAAGAAGAAATAGGTGAAATTAATCTCAATGTTTTATTTAACCTCAAATTCAAAATAATTACTTCAACATGTAATCAAGATAAAAATCATTAATTGCATATTTGAATTCTTTTTTTAATACTAACTCCTTAAAATCTCATATATATTTTATGTTTATAGCATACCTCAAAGTAAACTAACCAGCTTGGGCATGGCAGTACCTGCCTGTAATCCAAGCATGTGGGTATGTGTGGGTGTGTGTGGGTGTGTGTGTGTGTGCACACACCATGGCATGTGTGGAGAGTTGGTTCTCTGCTGTTACCTTGTCCGATTTGGGGACTGAATCCAGGTCATCAGGCTTGGAACATGCAAGTCCTTTTACCCATTGAGCCAACTTGCTGGCCCAATCCCAGCACTTGGGAGGCAGAGTAAAAGGATCAGAATTTCAGTCATCATCACCTAAATAGCCAGTTCAAGCAGCCCAAGCTACAGGAAACCCTGCCACCCTCCCCCAAGGGGAAAAAAAAAAAAAAGAAAGTAGACTAACTAAACAGTCACATGTGGTCAGTGACTGCCATATGGAACAACATAGGTCTAGAAATCTAGGGTAGAAGATACTCTATAAAGTCAAAACATGGTGGTAGGTACTCACTGCAAAGAGCAGACTGTCATCTCAGTGGCAATGGGCAGCTTCACTACTTTCACTCATTTTTTTACCTATTTACTTTGATTCTAGCTGGAAGCTGCATTTTTCTGCTTGGGGACAGGTTCAACCCCCCTCAAAGATATAAAGAACTAAGTATCAAGCCTTAACCTGCAAAAGATGAGACCTTTTCTCCCTCTTAATCCAACCCTTTCTCAACTTCCTGTGGCTCTGTGTAGCTTCTTTCCAATATTCTGGGCAAAACTATAAGACAAACATGGTTAGCTCAACAGAAGCTACCTCTTCACATAGACAAACATAATCTCAATGTATCAGGTCCAAGGTGCACTACTAGAAGGGCATGTAATAATGGTAAAAGATGTATTCACTTAGAATCTTCAATTTACATGATTCTGTTCATCATCACAACCCTATGAGGCAAGAAGAATTACTATTCTGGTTTCAAAGAAGAGAAAAATAGAGCTTAGGCAAGCCAAATTAAACTTGACCAAGGCCACTGAGAAAGGTTAGAATTTAAAAGTAGGTTTTCAAATTACAAAGTTAGGGCTCTTTAACTACACATCCATGACATAAATAGACAAATGATATGCATGCGTGCACACACTCAAGGCTGGGAAAACTCAGGATGGACTTTTCTGTTTATATGGTACATGCACACGAGAGGGGTGTACACATTAGACAAGACATTATAGGCTCTCTCCACACGTGTACAGAATATGGAAAGGTTTTTAAATATACTTGAGAATAGGAAGGTTACCTAAGTACATGTATAAATGCATAAAGAGACAGATGATCTCTATATATGAATGTACACAGAGGAAGAGATAGCGTATGTATATTCATATAAGATGAATGAAAAGGTTGTCAATATGCAGTGTACATACAGGATAGAACCAGCTAGGTAAGTTATAGACACATACGGACATATCAAGAGAGGAAAATTATGCATATCCAATGGGAGTGGATAGGTTATTTGTAGGTATACAGCTGAGTACCCAGGAGGAAAGGGTGGCCAGATTATTGGATACAAATACGTGCATGTGAAGGTTCTACCTCAGTGCTGAGTATGCTATTTTTCATTCATTTTAATGACCCCCACCAGCAACTTGGCTCAAACAGTTATGTAATTAATGTGGCTGTTCCATATTCCACCCACAAATGCATTGCTTTGGTCTCTGCTTGTCATTCAGCCAGTCATATACTCAATACCACTTACCTTGCTGCTGCGACCAAAAGAAGGTTAAGGAAATTAAAAGAAAAAAAAAAATAAGAAAACAACATTAAAGCGACAAATTCTCAAGTTTTAGAATGAAGTGCTGCCTTTGAAAGGTAATCCATTCAGAAGCACTCCTAGGTTTGATAAAGCAGCCACAGGATGAACTTTAAGAGCCACAGCGCAGCAGCTTGCCCAATCCACAAACAGAGCCAAGGAGCTATTATTCGCAGTTGCAGCTGGCTAGCTGGCTCCTCCGTGCAAAGTTGATGATAGGAACAATGCCTAGCAGAGAAATCCCCTCAGTGAAGGCGGGCAGGAGCTCGGAGCTGCAAATCTAGAAATCCAATCTGGTCCACACCTCTCTGGGGATTCAGAAGACCAGCCCGCTGAAGGCAACAGCAGTTAAACTTCAGCTAGGTCTGGAATTCCAACCCAATCGATTCCGTGCTTTAGACTGAGCGGAAAGCAGGGCAGCTCCAGCTCCTGCTGCTGCTCCTCCTCCTCTCCAGCTGCTTCCTGCCTGCCTGCACCCTCCCATAGGGCACCACCCCTCCTCACACGTTGCTGGCACACACACCCTCTTCCCAGCACACTCACGCATACACAACGCTTGCCAGCAAGCTCACTCACACACCCTTGGTGAGTGTCTCTCTCTCTCTCTTGCTAAATATAGATCTTACTCTCTCCCTCCCCCCATTTTCTTCCTTCTTTCTTCCTACTCTTCCTTCCTTCTCTCCTGTCTATACACCTCCCTCATGTCTAAGCCATAGACCGAGAGAGAGGTAAGACTGAGCCCTATACGTTGAGGAGCTCCAAATCTCAGAGAGAACCCAGAATACAACAAGAAATTGCTACAGCACAATACAGACAGTTGTCTACTGAAATAAGCTCTAGGTTGGCTTGCTTTATATGTATATGATCTGCCACAGCCTTCAGAGAAACTGAAGGAGTGCCACATGCAGTTCATATCACATGGTGCCCTTTTCTCAGAGTTCACAATCAGTATAGCACTTTGGGAACAGCCACCTGCTGGGAGCACCCATAGGCTATGCTGATACAAGGATTAGGGAGGAGGGAGCAATGAGTAAAATGAGTTAGCTAGGATGGATCCTCAATTCAGCAGTCAAAACCAAAGACTGCTTTGGATTCTGAATTCAGAACTCAGCAACAAAAGTGATACCATATCAACCTAAAGCTGTCTAAAGTTTACTACCCTGTTTTCATGATCCAAAATTTCCCAACCCTTTGCCAAAGGGCAGCCCTACCATGGAGATTTTGCTAGCCCAATGGCCCTCATATGGTTCCAATTCCTAACAAGTCAACAATTCTAGGTAGGATAACTAGGAAATCGAATGTCTTTGTCTTCAAGTTGTTCACAGTAACAAAATGTCCAAGTATAACCTGGGGACCCTTGAAGCTCTGGACCATAAAGTACCAACTACATGAAACAAGATGCCTCTTTCCACTTTGCAACCACAGACCAAAGAATGTTGTTTCCTGTGCCTAACACTAAACTGCCAGTAACAGTCCAGGGGAGCTGTTTTTCTTCTATCATCTCTGAGCTTGGAAGAATGAAAAAAGGCCTTTGTCTTCCTTAGGTCTCAGTCAAAAGTAGGTGGGCAAATATGATTTACTCAGCATTTGCAAGTTCTACTGCCTGCAACATTCCTATGACAATCTATGGGACATTCAAGTCCCTTTAACCCAGAAATCAGGTAGCATGTCTATGGGGACCATCTTGAGAGCATCACTGCAGAACAAGCAGTTGTATAGGATAAATAAAACAAAGATTTTATTTTATTTTTATGTATTTAATTTTCTGGTTCTTTGAGTCAAGGTCTCACTCTGTAGTCCAGGTTGGCTTTGAACTGTGTAGCCCAGGCTGGCCTGGAACTTGTGATCCTCTTATTTCAGTCTCCCCAGTGCTAGGTTTAGAGGTGTGTGAGCCACCATGCCTAGCTCAAAATAAGATTTCAAATTGACAGTGATTTCCTTGGCTTATCCAAGATCCTGAGGAGAAAGGGTTGATTTCAGAGCCAACATTTGCCTCCTCACTGCCTTCTTCTAATAACATTGCTTCCCCCTCAACCAAGGAAGAAAAATTAGACTCCAAGAGATGCCAAACAACCCATTTTTTAACCATCCACCTCATTATGCAGCCAACACTGACAGCAGAGCAAATACCTCCTAACCCAGTTGGGAGCTGGCTGGATGACAGAAGAGATAAGGGCTGACAGTGCAGCTATACCACATCTAAATACAGAGGAAGAAAATAGCTTGAAAACTGTCAAATTTCAGTGGAAGTCACAGCCAATTTACTGTGGAGTTTCCCTGGCTTGAGCCAGGAGAAAGAGGTAAAGAAAGGGCTGAACATAAATGGAGGGAAGACTGATTAAATGAGAATTCCCTCCTTATGCTGTAGCCAAGCATGGGAGTCCAGAGCAGTGAGTGTCCTTATGAGATTGGGGTCCAGGCCTTCTATACTGAGGAATTACACTGTCAAAACAGGAAGTTCCCTAGACCAGGGCACTGCCTAAACAACTTACCTCTTTCCCATTCACTAGTGGCTCCAGGGCCTGGCTGAGGCTTCAGGTAGTACTACAAAGGCTAATGAACCCTGTCTAGTTCATCTGGCTACCCAACACATTCAGCCCATCTTCTAAGCAGTTTCATTTTCAGGAAAAACAAAGGCTCAGAGAATGGAAGATATGTTTAAGACACCAGGAAGCATAACAAATTTGGCTATCACCAGTTAGTCTTTAGACTTCACATGAGTGCTCATGTCTTTGACCACAAATTACCCCTGTGCTTATCATTTTCCCATGTTTAAACAAAAACAAGGAGGGTGTGATCATTAATTCTGTCAACCTGATGGGATTTAGAATCATCTGGATGATATTACCTCTGGATATGTCTGTGAGGACATTTTTCAGAGAGGGTTAACTTAGGCAGGAAGACCCACCCTGAATGTGGCACCATTCCATGGGCTGGGGTCCCAGACTGCATTTAAAAAGGAAAAAGCAAGTAGAGTCCCAGCATTCATCTCTCTCTGCTTCCCAGCTGTACACTCAATATGACCTGCTGCCTCATATGCCTGCTACCATGCCTTTCTAACTACAATGGAGTGCACCCTCAAACTGTAGGCCTAAATAAACCGTTCCTTCCTGAAGTTGGCTTTTTGTCAGTTATTTTGTCACAACAATGAAACAAGTAACTAATACAGAGGACACATGGGAAATGTGGTAAACGATAGTCAGCCTTAAGCAATGGCAATAAAGGGCGGTGGGGTGCTCCTTTATTCACAATCTTACAGGGCTAAGTTTCAGACATCACACAATCAAAGGATAACCAGATCTCCTTTGGGGTAAGTAGGTAATTTCTGTTTCCTTGGCTGTATGGGCAGCAATGCAGCTCCCTTTGTCACAGTGACCTGGCCCTTGGTAATCCTCAGTAGGCTAAGAGGATGGGTGCTTTTTTGAGTAAGAAGTAACATAGCGCCCACCTCAGCTGGGAAACTTCCTCAAATCAAGGCTGCTCAGGAGCTAGCTGGGCAGAGCTGGAAAAACAGATTGGGTTAAGAAGGGAAAGGCATTTATCCAGAGCTGTGAAATGCTCTCAACAGACATTCTCAAGGTCTGGTTCCCCATTTAGATCTTTGCAGGAATCTTCGCCTAGAGACAGATGAGTCAAGATGGAAATTCAACATGAGACACTGACACGCAGAGTTGTAGGAAGGTTCAGAGCAGCAGGAGCTCTAAAGGAGAGCTGAATGGGTGGGTTAGTCAGAATACCACCTGGTGTACAGAATTCCTCTTCAACTAAAGCAACTACATAGTGTCATGGGGATACTAGCGGAGGGCCTCACCAATCATAATTCTCTCCCTCCCCTAATCAGTCTAAGTCTTTCTGAGTTCAGATACAACTAGTTTAAACAGAAGAAAAGAACATGCCTACTCCAAAGCTGGTCTCCCTTTTCAGGTGTCATTGTCAGAGGCTGACTGGATCAGGACCTGTAGGCGCCTACCTTGTCTTCCCATGATGACAATCACATACATGGATACAAAGGATGGGAGAGTTCAGGTCTATCTTGCACAGGGGTTAGCATGTGACTATTTTCTTTCTCTGCCACTTAGGAAACCCAGGAGCAGCATGAAGAGGCTGACATGTGGCCATACAGCTGGGATTTGTTTTGTGTGTGAGGAAAATGATTTGTTCTGGTGGCTGAGAAGTCTTTTTTCCCTTCCCTTCCCTTCCCTCCCCTCCCCCACTCCCTTATAGAATTATGCTCTCCTTAAACTATTTAGAAAATACATACAAGCAGAGAATGATGGGCAATGGAAGATGCTCCTCCTCCTTTCCTAAGGAACATGCCACCCTAAGGGAATGATAAACCTGGCAGAGATGTGCTGAGTTTACTGATGTGCTAAGACATAACTGCCACACAGCCTAAATAAGACCTGACAAGCTGCAAGGCAAGCCTAAGGAATCACAAATTGCTGACAAATCTCATTCCTACAATCGGGTCAAGCACCAACCCTGATTAGCAAATCCTCAGCATAAAGAACCAATAAACAAAATGCTCAGGGGTGCCCACCTAAATAGATTTTCAGCTTGTATTGCCAAGGGCTATGGGCTATATCCATTTCAGGACCAAATTATTAAAAGCTTTTTACAAATACATTTTTATTTTGAGTGTTTTGCCTGCATATATGCAAGTGTACTCACGCATATAATGCCCATGGAGGCCAGAAGAGGACATCAGGTCCCATGGAACTGGAGTTACTCATGGTTATTAGCTGCCATGTGGGTGCTGGGAACCAAGTCCAGGTCCTCTGCAAGAGCACCCAGTGCTCTTAACTGCTGAGCCATCTTTCTAGCCCCTGATTAAAAGCTTTTGGGAGAGTTCTTTATCTTTGTTTTAAAACTCTTTTTTAATATTTTATTTATTTTATTTTTAATGTGTATGAATGTATTGCCTGCATGTGTATAAGTGCACCAGTGTCATGCAATGCCCAAGGCAATCAGAAGAAGGTGTCAGATCCCCTAGAACTGGAGTTTCAGACAGTTGTTAGCTGCCATGTTGGTGCTGGGAATCAAACCTGGGTCCTCTGCAAGAGCAGTCAATGCTCTTAACCTCTGAGCCATCCCTTCAGCCCCTTAAAACTCTTGTAGCAGTATACCTTCCTATGCCCTCTCACTTAACTCTGGTCAGAAGTCACAGCTTTCGGACTTAGAAAAAATACACAACCTGAAGTAGTATTTATCTATGTGCATGGCCAATCCACAGTTTGCCTCAATCTCTGTACCCAAGGAAAGCCAAGGTATCACATACTGAGGAGTCTCTAAAGGATACCCACAATTTTAAGTTATTTATTGAAATTATGTGGAGAAGAGAACATCTTGTACTGAAAAGAGACTAATATCAAATATTCCCTTTAGTTTTTTACTC